GTGCTTTGGCATTTTAGCAATATCACTCTAGCTGCAGCTTGGAACCCGCAAGGCTCTCAGAGTGGACACAGAAAGACCAGGAAGAAAGCTGTCCAGCTGTCCAGGTGAGTGGTGGGAGTGACAGAGGCAGAGGATGCAGAGAGGAAATGGCATCAGGAGACACAACTGAGGCAGAATCACTGGGACTCAGTGACTGTCATACCTGAGGTTTCCCAGAAACATGCCCAAGACAAAGATTCAAGTGCAAGTACCTCATTTGGGAACAGGCAGCACAGTGTGGGAGGGGAGAGGTAAGTCAGGGAAGGGGAGGGAGCCAACTAAGGGAATGCTATCAAGCAAGTGACCACTGCAGATAACTAGAACTCATTCCCACTGGTCAGCTCCAGGAGTCAGTGTAGAGCCCATTCCTCGGTTGTCCCACCTGAAGCGTGAAGGAGCTGGGTATTTATACACCAACTCCCCAACAATCACTGGTTGAGAGCTGTAGCTGGTTTGGCGGTGGGGGTGGGGGTGGGGTTGTTAAGTCTCTGGCAATTCCTGCCAGCCACATGTGAGCAGAGCAGGCTCCAGCTGCTAGAGAAGGCTCCCCCGCGTCCCACAGGGATGCAGATGCTGAGAATTTGAACTCAGTCTGTCGGGCACCACAGTGACGAGGCCACAGGAGATATGAGCGGGCACCCACAGCCACCGCTGTAGTGACCAACTGTTCATGAGGCCAGTATCAGTCAGGCTCTTGTTGAAAGACACAGAAACCCAACTCAAACTTCAGCAAAAAGTCTCGACTCTCATTTCTGAGACCTTAGGCAAGATTGCAACAAAGGACTCGAGGCTGACGCTCTGCCAAGCACGGCAGCCCTAACAGAGAAAGGCACCTCTTTCCGAAGAGTCCAGCCATAATCCCAGGGCCAGCTCTCATTGGCTAGGAAGGATCCTGTTTCCATCCCTGAGCCAGTCAGTCCTCAGGGGTGCAGGGCTCTGATTGGCCAGACCTGGGTCACGTGTCCACTCCTGGGGTTCTGGGATAGAGCTGGGTCCACCTAGACTACAGGATGTAAGACTGGGGTGGAATCATTTTCCAGGCACCGTGGGTATTGTTACAAGGGGAAGGACATAGAAAGTCAGAAGAGGGAAGAATTCAAGGAGATGCCCAGGTGTCTCTGAACCCCACTGGGTGACACTGAAAAATTTTACTGATACAGGGACACCATGTGCCCACTCAGAGCCCTGAAAGGACAGACACATGGGCCCCAGAAGTCAGAGAAAGGGACTCTTTTTAACAATGAGGCCCAGTCACAGGAAGGAAGTTGAGAGATTACTTGTGGTCATTAGGGTGTCTAGGTCTCTAGAGGACTCCCTGACAGTGGCAGCCCCGTTCCCCCTCCTGTAATTCCAGTGGCACCTCCAAGGCAGGGACCCAACTCCCCCCACCAGCCAGATGAGGGGCCTCATCAGTCAAGACTACCACCAGGTCTTGAGCCAGGGTTTATCTCCTAGGGAACGAGTGTGTGCCAGCATTTCACAATTCACCAAGCGCTTGCCCACACTTGCCTTCACTTCTTCCTCTTGGCCCCATTTGACAAACACGGTCTGAGGCTTAGGGAGGCAGCCACGGTCCCAGGCTCACATGGTCCTGTTGGGGCAACCCTGGGTTCCTGGGGATCAGGAGTGCCTGTGATGTGAAATTGAAGCCAGCTTCTCCCTGGGAAGGGTGGAGAAGGTGCCCTGGGCCCTGGGCTGAGAGAACTGAGTGTGGTGTGCACTTCTGGGGCAGCGCCCCACCACTGCCTGCTGCTCCTGGTGACCAGCCCTCTCCACCTCCAGCATTTCTGGGGCATCGGGCGCCTGCCAAGCCAGCGAGCCAGCAGGGCTGTGTTTGCAAATAGTGTCCTCAGTTTTCAGGATCTGGCCTTACTTGAGCGGGCATCAAGGACGTATTGCTGCACACTGTTCTCCAGCTAGAGAGCCAAGGAGGCTGGCCCTGGAGCCCAGGGATCACTGCAGCCCCGAGGGGATGCAAGGAAGCCCAGAAGGGACATGGGGGTGGTTTTGCCTGAAATTGTCTTCAAGAAGAGGTTTGCCCAGAGGGAGCCGCTGCTGGCTGGAGTGAGGGGGATCCTTGACTTTCTGGAACTCTGATGGGGCAGCTGGTGTCCAAGTTACCAGTTGCGCCTTGGCTAGAATGACCCCTCCCAGCCTTGGTTTCCCCATCTGTAAAATGGAGGTTTCCCATCTCATGTGGCTGTTGTGAGGATATGATGTAATAAAGATGTCAGTCAGTGGACTTCCTCTCCAGCCTGGGGTAAATGCTCTCACAAGCCAGCTGGTGGGAGCAGAGATGCTTCCCAGGAGCTACTCAGCCACGAGGGCTGTCATGACGGTGCTCTGGCCTCCAGGGTTGGGTCCATCAGACTCCTAGAGGCAAGGAGGGTGTCTGGCAGGAAGGCAGAGAATTCAAGCCAGGTGGACCCTGCAGAAGTCTCAGGGCTTAGGAAGGCTTAGGGCACAGTTGGTCATGAATCGTCTAGGTCCAAGGAAATAATCCTCAGATCCTTGAGGGCCGTGGGGCTGGCCAGCTCCTGGCGACAGTCACAAGGCAGCTATGCAGAGGAGTAGGAAGAGCTGTGGGTCCCTCACTGCCCCTGCCACTGGGCCCACTGTGTGACCTTGGGGAAGTTGTTGCCCTCTAAGGGCCTCAGTTTCCCCACCTCTATGATGGGGGTTTCACCTAGGCCAGTGTTTTTCACACAGTGTTTGGTGGGATCTGGAATTTGCCTTAAGAACTACTCATAAGGGCGCCTGGGTGGCTCAGTTGGTTAAGCGACTGCCTTCGGCTCAGGTCATGATCCCGGAGTCCTGGGATCGAGTCCCGCATTGGGCTCCCTGCTCGGCAGGGAGCCTGCTTCTCCCTCTGACCCTCCCCCCTCTCATGTGCTCTCTCTCTCTCATTCTCTCTGTCTCAAATAAATAAATAAAATCTTTAAAAAAAAAAAAAAAAAGAGCTACTCATAAGGGGTGAGAGGGAGTCTCAGACACCAGAACCCATTTAGTATAATTGTTTCCTATTGCTGCGGTAACAATTTTCCAAAAACTTAGTGGCTTTAAACAACACAGATTTATTATTTTACAGTTCTAGAGGTCATAAGTCTAAAATGGGTCTCAGGACTGCATTCCTTCTGGAAGCTATGGAGGAGAATCTGACTCCTTGCCTCTTCTGGCTTCTAACAGCTACCCACATTCCCTGGCTGGTGACCCCCACACCCCTCTGACCCCTGCTTCTATCATCATATCTTCATGCCTCCCTCTTAAAAAGACCCATGTGGGGGCGCCTGGGTGGCCCAGATGGTTAAGCATCTGCCTTCGGCTCAGGTCATGATCCCAGGGTCCTGGGATCGAGCCCCGCATCGGGCTCCCTGCTTGACGGGGAACCTGCTTCTCTCTCTCCCTCTACTGTTCCCCCTGCTTGTGCTCTCTCACTCTCTCTATCAAATAAATAAATAAAATCTTTAAAAAAAAAAAAAAAAGACCCATGTGATTAGGTTTGTACCCTTCCAGATAATCCAGGATAATCTCCCCATCTCAAGACCCTTAATCATATCTGCAAAGACCCTTTTAACATGTCAAGTAACATAATCAGAGATTTGGGGGATTAGGACATGGGCAACTTTGGGAGCCATCATTCTGCCTACCACACTTGGCTTCAGCCAGAGCCTGTCTACTCTGGCCTGGGCCAGCCCTCCAAGATCTCTACCCCCACTGCCCTTGTCCTCACTTGCTCCGTTCCAGCCACACTGGTTGCTTTCAGATCCTTAGCACACCGGCACACAGTCCATAGTAAGCTGTGGGACTCCTCTGAGTCGAGCTGGTGGTGGGGACAGGGCTTAGAAAGCTCGCTAACCTCCCCTCTGCTTCATGGTACAGATGGGAAGACTGAGGCACAGAAAAGAAAGGTACTTGGCAAAGTACTGAGACTGGTATTTCCAGCATGATCCTGGATGGAAGATCGGAACAGTCCAACTGCCCAATTTTACAGATGGGGAAACTGAGTCACAGTGGTTCCACCTAAATGCCACCCCCATCCAAGGCCTTGTCCTTCCACCCAGTCCTGAGGATGTGCTCCAGTTATTGACTCACTCAGAACTCTGTTCAGGCTGACCGTCGTTGATTTGTTCAGTCGGAAATGATGTGCTAATGGGCTTGTTGTCTTCTCTGATGTTTGCAGCCCCCAGCGCCTAGCCCAGAAGTCACACTCGGTAGACATCTGCTGAGGGGCAGAGTGGGTTTTTATAGAGGGTCTACATGTGATATAGGATTCCTCTGCTAAAGTGAGAGTTGGACGGTACTGCTCTCAGACTCAGGTGAGACGGGTCCTACTCTTTAGAAGGCTTCTCTGGCCCTCTTTCAGCCATGTTGAACCACTCATAGGCAAGAGTGTTCAGGGGCCAAGAGGACATGTTTACCCAGAGCCACACTCTGGATACTGGGGACCCTGGAATTCCCTAACCAAATGGCCCCAGGCCTGCTTCCACAGCCGCCAGCACAGGATCTTCCCATGGGTGGCCTGCACTGCCCGTGGGGCCATCCCTAGGCCTGAGGGCATGTGGAGTGAGCTTGGGGTGCGTGTGGCTCCTTGTAACAAGGGATAGAGTCAGAGGTGGGAGGAAAACAGAGGGTGAGCCACTCCCCCCGCCCACTACATTCGATCATGGAATTTGGAGACCTGGAAGTTTGAGGTCGAACTTGGCTTTCCAGGTTATTATGAAGATATGTTCATCAAGGTAGGATCTGTTTTAACGTTTGCCAGCCTGAACTATGACCTTGAATTATACATATGGCATGTGGGCCTCCGTTTGTCTTCTTGTCCTCCACCCTACAGTGTTAAAGGTAGGCAAAGAGTCTTCAGAAATCCTCCCCATCCTGAGATCTGTGGGGGTCTGGGTGACATTCCCAGCACCCTGTCCCCTCCAAATTCAGCTGATTTTCTCTCTGTTTTTTCTCCCCAGGATAGCCGCTGCCCGGGAGAGGCAACCCGGGCGCCCCACTAGGGCAACGGCCCCTGCCCTGAGGGCCGGGATCATGAAAGGCCTCGGTGACAGCCGCCCTCGCCACCTCTCCGACAGCCTGGACCCACCGCATGAGCCCCTGTTCGCAGGGCCTGACCGCAATCCCTACCTGCTATCGCCCACGGAGGCCTTTGCCCGCGAGGCTCGATTCCCTGGCCAGAACGCTCTGCCTGGGGATGGTCTCTTCCCACTCAACAACCAACTGCCGCCTCCAAGCAGCACCTTCCCCCGCATCCACTATAACTCCCACTTTGAGGTGCCAGAGGAGAGCCCCTTCCCCAGCCATGCCCAGGCCACCAAGATCAACCGGCTGCCTGCCAACCTGCTGGACCAGTTTGAGAAGCAACTGCCCATCCACCGCGATGGCTTTAGCACGCTCCAGTTCCCCCGTGGTGAGGCCAAGGCCCGAGGTGAGAGTCCTGGCCGCATCCGCCACCTGGTCCACTCGGTCCAGCGGCTCTTCTTCACCAAGGCGCCCTCACTGGAGGGCACGGCAGCCAAGGTCGGTGGCAATGGCAGCAAGAAAGGTGGCCTGGAGGACGGCAAGGGCCGGAGGGCCAAGAGCAAGGAACGGGCCAAGGCTGGGGAACCCAAACGGCGTAGCCGCTCCAACATCTCGGGCTGGTGGAGCTCTGATGACAACTTGGACGGCGAGGGTGGCGCCTTCCGCAGCAGTGGTCCAGCCTCTGGGCTGATGACGCTCGGCAGACAGGCGGAACGCAGCCAGCCACGCTACTTCATGCACGCCTACAACACCATCAGTGGGCACATGCTCAAAGCAGCCAAAAACAACACCGCTGAGCTGACTGCCCCGCCACCCCCACCCGCACCCCCAGCCACCTGCCCCAGCCTTGGGGTGGGCACTGACACCAACTATGTCAAGCGGGGCTCCTGGTCCACTCTGACCCTCAGCCACGCCCATGAAGTCTGCCAGAAGACCTCAGCCACCTTGGATAAGAGCCTGCTAAAGTCCAAATCCTGTCACCAGGGTCTAGCCTACCATTACCTGCAGGTGGGTCCCTCCATGATTAGGGGTGGGGTAAGGAATATGGGGAGGGCACCTGTTCTGAGACTCAGCTGTACCACAGATTTACTTGGAAAGTCACTTCATTATGGGCCTCTGTGAATAAACACCTGTGAAATGGGTATCTGGTGGTACTTGCTAATAAGGGGATTCCTTCCGGTGGTCATGCTTTCAGCAGACATTGATTAGGGTTCTTCTGAGCCCAGCCCAAGAGTAGGAACTAAAACGTGTACCTGCCCTCTAGAGGACAAATCTGAAAGCTGTGCCCTCCATCCTCCTCATAGGACCCATTGCATGGCATTCTAAATGCCAGCCTCCTGCCTGCTACCCCCACCAGACCAGGGGCTCCTTGAAAACAGGGACCACATCTGATGCAGCTGTGTGTCCCTAAGGCCCAGGACAGGGTCTGGCAGAGAGGAAGTGCTCAGGAAATGTGAGAAGAGAGAGGGCCAGAGGAACAGATGGACATTTAAGTGAACAGAGCTAGAAATAAATAAGACAGAGCCCCAATTATCAGGATGCTGGGAGAGAAAGATGCATGAACAGATAGTCATGTCAGTGTGAGCGGAGTGTGATGGAGATCAGCATGGAGGGCTGTAGGAGGCCCTAAGCCAGCTTGGGGGACTAGCTTTCTCCTTTCAAGTGTTAATGTTTACTGAGGCACTTAATATGCACTTTGCAAAGCCACACTCCTGGAAATTGGCAAAAGGCTCAGAGACATCTCTGTTGCTACACATCCCCCTGGGGCCCTCAAGAGTAAAGCCCGGGGTTATGAACTGGGTGCAGTTCCTGGGGGCAGAACCCAAGCTGTGGGTGGAAGTTACAGGAAGCAGATTTCAGAACCCACCAAGATGGAAGGGGCTGCTTCTGTAGGTAGTGAGCGCTACATCCTGGGGAGTGTGCCAGCACAGGCCTGACCAGCCTTTGGGAACACAGATGCATTTTGAACCAGATGAACATCAAAGTCTGACAATGCCCTGAGTTCTTGTCATTCTATATAAAAATTCCAAAGACAGTGAGACTATGGGGGGAAAAGCTATTTTTTTTTCAATAGGAGGAAAATGGAAATCTAGGCAGTATTTTATATATTTAAGGCTTTTGTGGCTCACAATCCACTTCCTTAGTTTAGAAACATCAGAGAGGGTGGTGTGTGACCTGGCTTCCTCTCAAAATGGTGTGGTTTGGTCTGATCATGTGAAAATGCTTCAGAAACACCATGAAAGGGTGGCCCTGCAGGCTCTGGGGTTTGTGCTATCTGCTTGGGTCATGGGAGGTGGGTGGGTGGGGTGCTGGGGTAGCAACAGGTTTTAAGCAGGAATATCGAAGGCCACCTTCCCAAGGGACAGGTGGAGATAGGGAAGATGGACTAGCAAACGGTTTGGGAGGTAGACTGTGTGGGCCTTAGTGACTGGTTGGGCAGTTAGCTCAGGGGGCGGGGGGGTCCTAGGGTGGGAATCCCAGACTGGGACCGTCCCTCAGCCGAGAATTGGCCACTGGTAATACGGGCACCTGGAAGGATGTTGTATCTGTGTAGATGTGGTGATTCTGGGAGGGCGGTTTGCCATACTGAGAAGTGTGTCACCCAGGCATCTGTGGTGAAGCGTGTCAAACCTAGCGAGGGTGTGCACTCTGTGTGTGTTGAGGCAAAGACACAGTGAGGTGGGGACATGCTGCCCTGTGTCCTCAGTGCAGCGTGTTCGTGAGGAGGGTGTGAGTATGCTCTGTGTTCACGTTGTATACTTGTTGGGGGGCATGCAGTGATGAGTGGCTGCTGGAGGACATGTCCTTGGGGAGATGGGGGGTGGGGTGGGGGAAGGCAAGGTGTGTTCGCTCTGTGCTTGGGCTGAGGGACCTTGTAAGTGCTAAGATGTGTGAAATCTTTCATCATGAGGTGAATGTCCACTGTGTATACATGTCAGATGGAAAAACAGCCCCTTTTCCAGGTCACTACCTGGCTGCCAGACCCCCACCAGTCTCTCTGCACGCTGTGCCTGGCCTTACCCACTAGTAAGGGATACAGGATGTCCCTTGGCTCCAAGACCCTGCCGCTCTTCTGATGTGCTGGCATCCTCTGACCAGTCCTCCCCCCACCCCCATCCTAGGACAGGATCTTGGTGCCAGGTCTGAGGGCCTCAGTCTGGTCTGATGTTCTCATCTGTGTAGTGGGATCATAAGCCATCCTCTAAGATAGCAGGGTGACGTGATGGGAACACAGTGGGTGCTCAGAAAAGGAGCTGCAGTGAACACCCACTGTGATCTTACAGCCTGGCGGGTTTTGCTGGGGCACACCCAGCCTGGGATCCATGGAGAAATCTGAGGTCCGAGAGGGGCAAGGATTTGCTTAAGGCCACCCAGTGAACTTGCGGCAGAGCCGGCTCTGGAACTCAAGTGTCCTTGCCAGCCCGGGGCTCTGCCCTGCTGCTGGGCGACTTCAATGGCAGTACCCAGCACGGAAGGCTGAGACCCTCCGAGGCGGGGAGCCGGGGAGCTTCAGGGTCCGGGGCACCATTCTCCAGGTGTTGGGCGCGAGGCTGGGCGGCCAGCGGCGCGCTGAGAGTGTGCGCTGCCCCCCGATCCCTCCCCACCCTCGCTGAGGTCTGTCCGCCCATCCTCAGGTGCCCGGCGGCGGCGGCGAGTGGAGCACCGCGCTGCTGTCCCCGCGCGACGCGGACGCCGCGGCCGAGGGCCCCATCCCGTGCAGGCGCATGCGCAGCGGCAGCTACATCAAGGCCATGGGCGATGAGGACAGCGATGAGTCCGGCGGCAGCCCCAAGCCCTCACCCAAGACGGCCGCGCGGCGCCAGAGCTACCTGAGGGCCACGCAGCAGTCGCTGGGAGAGCAGAGCAACCCCCGCAGGTGAGCGCGCCGCCCCGCTTCCTAGAGCCCCGCCCACAGGCTAGCCCGGCCCCCCGGAGCTCCGCCCCCCGGGAGAGCCGCTCCGGAGTCTGAGTCCCGTCCCAGGAGGTCTCCGAAGTCCCGCCTGCTCGGAGCCCCGCCCACAGGCTAACCAGCCCATTGGCGGCCTCCCCGCCCCCCGCACGTGAGCTCTCCCCTGGGAAAGCCCCCTCCGCTGTCACAGGCTCCGCTCACTGGCAAGGCTAGTCCATAGGTGAGCTCCTCACAGGCGTGTCCCACCCCCGGGAGCCTCGCTTTCCTTCCCTACGGCCCCTTAGGAAAACCCCGCCCCATAGGTGAATCCCGCCCTACAGCCTCAGATCCAGGTGAACCCGGGCTCCCAATAATCCAGGCCCCCTAGGTAAACCCGACTTTAGGTTAAAGCCTTCTCCCTGAGATCCTCGTCCTTAGGTTGGCCCCTTCCTTTGACGAGTTGACTCCGGAGAGCTCCGCCATAAGCCCCCCACAGTTAAGCCTTGACCACCGGTGAGTCTCATCCTTTGGTAAACGATAAGGAGAGTCTCTCTAGAGTGACTGGCCCTGCCCACAGGAGCCACATCACCAGGTGAGTTCCACACCCACAGGGGAACTGGGCCAGGGAATCCTCTTCTTCAGGTTAGGAGAACCCTGCCCCTAGTGATCCACCACTTGTACCAGCAAAGTACTTGCTTTCCAGGGAAGGCCAGAGCCCCCTCTGCCCTTGGCCCTGTAACTGATCCCTGTGGTGAGCTCCTAGACTGGGGAGGAGGATGTATCCAGAAGTCAAAGGGAGATAGACAGCCTTCACCTGTCCTGTCACCCTGCCTGGAATTCACCATTCAAGCCCTTTCCTGTTGCTTTAAGACTTGGAAGAGTTAATGAAAGTATGAACTAATGAGATGCATGCACGCAGAAAACAACAATTAAAATGTTAGAGAAAGGTGAGACTTTCACATGCAGAAATCACCATGGGGATCAGAACAGAAAAGAATGAGAGGGGGGAACAAAGTTACAGAAAGCCCGTCACCGGGCACCTGGGTGGCTCAGTTGGTTAAGCGACTGCCTTCGGCTCAGGTCATGATCCTGGAGTCCCAGGATCGAGTCCCGCATCGGGCTCCCTGCTGGGCAGGGAGTCTGCTTCTCCCTCTGACCCTACCCCCTCTCATGCTCTTTCTCTCTCTCAAATAAATAAATAAAATCTTTAAAAAAAAAAAAGAAAGAAAGCCCGTCATCAAGTACAAAACAGGTAAAACTTAGTAGGAGGGATTCAAAGTCCTTTGAGGAAAAGAAACAAAAGCAAGTCGGAAACAAAAAGAAGCATTAAGGGAAACAAGCTTCGTCCTAGTTCTTCAACTACTGAGGGCAAGAGCCGAGGCTTCTGGGAGGAGGGGGCCTGGGAGGACTGCGACAGAGGGAAGAGAGCAGGTAGAGTGACAGAGCGCTGAGGCAGAGGGGCAGTGTACTCCGAGAAGCCTGGAGTCTCCTTGCCACAGGGATTTGCTTAGGGGGTTCACAGTGGGACAGAAGGCAGGGAATGGCCTCCAGCTGGGAATTCAGGACACCACTGGCCAGTCCCAGGTCTGTCCCTCTCTGAGCCTCAGTTTCCCCATCTTTAAGTGAGGGGGCTAAGCTGGATGATCTCTTAAGACCCCTTCTAGTCCTGGGAGCCTACATTTCCATGAATGACCAGTGGGCACTGAGGTGGGAAAGGAGGACAGGACCCAGGCCCAGACCTTGAATGAGAGGAAATAAATAATAATAATAGTATCAGTAGTAATGGGCGCCATCTGTTAGCACTTGCCGCACTCTGGGCTCTGTGCCTGCCCCAGTGCACTTTAGTGTGATTCCCGAATCCTCCTGATCACAGCCCCATGCAGGCAGGCACAGTGTCACCCCCGCTTTGTAGGAGAGGAAACGGAGACATGGGCAAGGGGTCATGACTTGCCCAGGGTCACCCAGTGAGGAAGCTCCATTCCAATCCAAGCCCATCTATGTCAAGGCCTGAGCTGTTGGGTGCTTGGATCTTAACCCAGAGCAGTGGTGAGGGAGAAATCCAGGGTCAGGTAGATGTGAGAAAAATTGAAGAGCAGGGGCCATGAGAAGTGCAGAGTCTGTGGGGGTCTGGTGGAAGCTACCTGGATATTGTGTTGAAACTGATGCCCTTTGGGCAGCTCTAGCCTGAGACCAAGGCTGTGAGCCTTGACCGACCTCCTCTGTCGGCGCATCGGATTTGCCCCAGACCTGTGGGGGTGAGGGCTGTAGCATTGGGCTGGTGTGGGCTGCCTCCGTTTGAAATGCTCAAAAGTGAGCTTGTGCTGCCACCTCGTGGCTGCAGCAGACATGACAGGTGAGGATCACCCCACCCACCAGATTCAAGCCTCCCAGAGCTGGGAGCTCTCCCCTTGCTCAGTGTCCCTGACCTGCCTCCCCCACCCTATCTTCACCTCCCCCCACCCCCCGCCCCCCGGACACTACGCAGGCTGGCAGTGACTTCTATTTTTCCCTCTGCCACTGGATGGCCTTGGCCAGTCTTTCCCCCTCTGGGCCTGTTTCTCAGGCTGAGCAATGGGTGGGCTGAGCCCTGTCTGCTCCTCACCCTCACCAGGAGTCTGGACCGCCTGGATTCAGTGGACATGCTGCTGCCCTCCAAGTGTCCAAGCTGGGAGGAGGACTACAACCCCGTCAGCGACAGCCTCAACGACTCCAGCTGCATCAGCCAGGTGAGGGTGGCAGCTATAGCCAAAGTCAGCGGGCTTGGGAGATCCCCAGCTCTCACCCAGGAGGACCCCAGGGCGAGTGGTGCCCAGAAGTCTGCACTGTGCTTCTGCTTGGTCTTTGTTCCCATAGCTGCCTGTGTACGTATGTCTGTCTCACTGACTGTCCTGTGGCTGGAGAGTGGTCACAGGGCCTGACATGCCATGGCCTGAGCTGAGGGCCCCGAGGGAGGGGCCACAGCACTGCTATAGGCCGAGGAGCCCTGCAGAGAGGGAACTGGAGACCTGAGCTTGAGTCCAGTCTTCTCACTGAGAGTATGACCCCAGGACAAGTCACTCCCTCCCTGAGCCTCAGTTTCCTCATTTACGCAGAAGGGTGATAATTCTTATTTCAAAGCGTTGTGAGGAATTAAGGAGATAGGAACGTAGTGTTCTCAGCAAAGGGTAGCTACCTTTATGGTTATCATTGTTATCTTGCTGTATGACCTTGGGTAAGTTGCTTCTCCACTCTGGACTTCCATGTCCCACAGGCTCAGCAGAAAGTCAGAACTTCAAGGTCCAGACACATCTCCCACCAACAGCGATAAGCATGCTGTGCTGCACTTTTCATTCTCTTAAGTCCCAGCTCCTTGAAACCACGTCAGGGGTGGGGGGGAGGCGTGCTTGTGATTTATATCCCCAATGCACAGATGAGGAAACCGAGGCTCAGCTGGGTGAGCTCACACAGCAAGGAGGAGGCAGAGCTGGGCAGAGATCCGGGGCTGTCAGACCTACACCTGGACGCCAGCCCCTGCCATGTGCACAGTACTTTAGGGCTTGCAGAGGGGGGACCAGCCAAGTTTTGAGGGCTCCCCTATAGTGTGGATGGGGAGACGAGGCCCAGAGAGGGCAACACCTGCTAGGAGTAGCAGAGTGGGGCAGTGGAAGCACCCGATGCGGCCCCAGCCTCCTTTCTGGGCAGGGACAGGCCCCAGGTCCCACTGCATGTAGCCCCACGGCCCGGGCTAATGCGCTGCTTAGCACTGGAAGGCTTTCCGATCCCAGCTCCTCACCACTCTGCTGTTCCTGGCCTGGCCATAGCATCCCCCCTTGGCCCCCTAGCACGGTCCTCAGCACTCAGCACTGTCATTCCCAGACCAAGGAGGCTGACCTCAGACATGGGGAGGAATAGAGCACCCCAACCGTGGCACTCTGTCCCTGCCACCCTCATGCAGGCCCCACCAAGTCTCCTGGCCTCCAGGCCTGCCACCTGCACTCTGTTCCCAACGGCCAGAGGGAGCTTTGTGAGGGATGTAAGGCAGATCACACCATGTCCCTGCTGCAAACCCTCCATGGCTCCCGCCTGCCCCCAGTGAAAGCCAGACTCCTTATTCAGCTGGGTGCGGGTCTGCCTCCCTCTGACACGGGATCTCAGACGTTCAGCCACACCTGCCTCCTTTCTGCTCCTCACACACCTCACACACCTTGCTGTTTCCTCTCCCAGGAGCACCTCTCTCAGATCTTTGCTCAGCTGGTTCTTCTCTGTGTTTCCGGTCTTGGCTCAAATGTCACCTCAGGGGAACCTGCCCTATCACCCGTCAAAAGGATCCCCCAGGACACCGTTCCCTTATCCTGCTTGATTATCTTGACAACACTATCACTGTCTGGAGTTATATCTGTTTATTTACTTGATGTCTGCCTCACTCTTAAGACCGGGAGCTCCCTGCAGGTGCGGACCTTGCTGTGTGGTTCCCCATGACGTCCTTGTCCTCAGCACATGGGCACAGGGCACATGGGTACCTGCTGAATGGATGGCTTCCCTCCCTGTGTCTCCTATCCTACCGCGTTCTCTTGTCTCTCAGTCTTCTGTCTTTGTATCTGTCTCCCTCTGTTTTTCTCTCCCCTCATTCACATTTTTATCTGACTCCCTCTCGTAGGTCCCATATCCATGTTTCTCTCTGAGTCTTTCTCTCTCACACACCCCATTTTCACCTCTGCCTGGCCCGGGCATCTGGAACACTTTGTCCTTTGGCTACACAAAAGGGTGCATGGAATCAGCCAGGCTGGGGACCCCAGCAGGTCTCTGCCACTCCCCTCTGCCCAGCACAGCTCTCTCCTAAGCCAGGGTCCTCTGAGCCCTCAAATCCTCACCCCTAGAGGCTTGAGTGACCCGAGCCACATATGTGCCCCTAGAGTCAGAGATGTCCCAGCTCTGTGTCTCTGAGGCCTTGACTCCTGCCAGAAGGAGCCCCCTTCCCACCAGGCACTGGACTATGTAGGCCCTGACCAGGGAAGAGAAGGCTCTGGGCTCTGGGACTAATCTGTAGATCTGGGGGGTGGGGGGCTGCCTGCCTAGGTGAGGGGCAGCAGACAGGGCATCTCCCAGGGGCCAGACCAAAAGAAAGAAGTGTAAACAGCAGATTACAAAGCCTCGGTAGCACCCAGCCCCTGAAGGAGTGAGCCTCCCATCCCTGGAGGAAGCTAAGTGAGACCTCCTAACAGACTAGGCCTCAGCCAGTCTGAAGAGGACGTTAGCCCAGCCAGCCACTAGTCCTCTTGCAGCCGAATCTGAATACCCTACCCCAGCCCTCAGCCTTGGTCTCCCCATAACCCTCCCCCTCTCTTTCCTGCAGATTTTTGGACAGGCCTCCCTGATCCCCCAGTTGTTTGGCCATGAGCAGCAGGTCAGTATGCTTGCCATTCTCTCATACCCCAATCCCAGAGTGCAGGGCTAGGTCTGAGGCCTGGCACCTGAGGGGTCCCAGCCCCCAGCCCCAGCAGGTGCCGGCAGCACCAGGGCCAGGAAAGGCACCGCCCGTGAGCATGGAGTCAAGGCTCACACTCTGCCCTGACCTTTCCCTCACTGACCCTTTCACTTCACTTTTCTGCACCTCAGTTTCCTCTTCTCAAAAATGGGAAAGAATGGGCTAGGTCCTATGGATGGGGCAAGAAATAATCCCAGGGTAAAGGAAAGCGGACCCTGGGAGTCTTCTAGCTAGGGAGACTGTTTTAGTCGGACACGTTGGCAGCTGGGGGCTGGTGGTATTGGCCTCCAGGTCCTAGACCCCAGATTCCCTAACTTTTCTCCTTTCTTGGGCTCCAGCGAGACCTTTAAGGATGTTGGGGGCTTGGCATGAATGCAGACACTTTTCCATTTTACAGAACTTGGTGGGGTGGAGCTAGTCCTGGCCCTCTGGCTGTTTGCCCTAAGGGTGCCCCCTTCCTGGGCACACCCACCCTGCCCTAGAGGTGGCCCTCTCCTCCTTCCCAGCTCCAAGACCAGAAAGAGATGCTGAAAGGGGCTCCAAGCTCATCCCCTCACTGTGGCCAGGACTGGACAAGTGACCTGTCCAAGGGGCAACACTAGGACTGGCCCCTCACCTCCTGATTCTAGCCGTGGATGCCTCATGTGCCTGCCTCCATGTTCATGTCACAGTTCTTCTCAAACACAGTGTTCCAGAGGGTCTTTGGGGAGCCCACAGGGGGCCAGCTGACCTCTTCCTCTGCTAACTTCCACAGGCTTGTAGTAAGGATGTGATGTGTTAACATACAAAATTCCAGGGTGTTCCCTGCACACAGTAATTCCTCAGTGACACACAACAGCTCTGACCAGCTGGCCTAACCTCCCAGAGCTCGGGAGCATCTTAACTGATACTTACAAATCCTTGCCCTCACCCCACGGAGCTTCCTTTAATAATAGGGACAGGTCACCAGGTGCTTATTCTCCCGACTCTGTTCTCAGCATGTGATATGAATGATCTCATTTAATCTTGACAACAATCCTATGAAATTGGGTCTCTAATTAGCCCTTGTTTTATAGATAGGGAAACTGAGGCACAGAGCAGTTAAGTGACTTGCCCATACTCATACTGCAAGGAAAGATGGACCCAGGGTCGAAACTCTGGCAGTCCAGTTCCAGAACTGTGCCATGCCTGCAATCCCAAAGCAAGACCTCATTGCCCTTGGCAATCACAAGGGCCTCTCAGTGTACTTCAGGTTACAGCCATGGAGGATAAACACCTGTCTCTTTCAAACCTACTCCAAATGAATGTTGGGTATGCCACATGGCCTACATTTTAATTTATCAGTGTTGTCCGACAGAACTTTCTGTGAAGATGGAGATGTTCTGTACTACACGCTGTCCCGTAAGGTGGCGTAAGCAAGTGAAATGTAGCTAGTGTGGCTAAGGAACTGAATTTTTTGTTTAATTTAATTTAAAACCTAAATAGCCACATGTGGTTAGCTGCTACCATATTGGACAGCACAAATTTAGACCTTTCCAAACATATATGCTCCAGATTGGGTGGTGATCCATCTAGTCATTTTACCTGATGCAGTGCCAGGCATTTCATTTAGATAGGAAACACTGACGCAGAGGATGGTGATAGTCGGGAGGTCACACAGGCAGAGCTGGCCCCAGGCACAACTCCATCTTTCCTCCACATGGTGCTCAGTCAATTTCTGCCCCCTCCCTTCTTGCCCAGGCCTCCCCTCAGGACCTCCACTCAGTGTCCATCCTTTGCCCGCCGACTCCTCAGCTTATACTCTGTGGTCTCCAGTTACCATCATGGCCTGAGACCTGGGTCAAACAGACCCTTCCAGAACCCTTGGAGAGTATATGTATGGCGGGGCCCTGTATGCTCACACTCTCAGCTGCAGATCTGTAGGATCTTGGATGGCCATCTCTAGAGAGACACTTAGAAACCATACAGATAAGGTTGAACTAGGAGTGAGATGACAAATAGTATGTATGCCACCATTCTGCATACTGCCCTGGACATCACTAATCAATCCTCACTGCCACTACCCTCGTTCCAGTTTTCTCTTCTCTTACCAGACTGTCGCATCAGCTTCATCTCTGGCCTCAGCCTCCATTCCAGACTCCCTTCCCAGTATTCATTCTGTACTCCAGGGCTAGACTAATCTTCCTTAAATTCATATTTGGAGTATTGATTCAGCCACTTCCTCACTGGGTACACCTGGCAAGTATCTTCCCCTCACTGGCCCTCAGTTTCTTTGCTTGTGAAAGCAAAGGAATTGGACCATAAGATGGTAATTATCTAGCACACCTACTGCCACCTCCCATTCCAACATTCAAGGTAGACATTACTAATTGATGATAGCCTTCTTTGTGGCTGAATTCAGATGTGACCTCAGGATCTATCAGTTGATCAGTGTGAACACACAAAATCCACTAAATGTCCTTAATAGTTTCTCCTGCATTGTAGACTTGAGAAAATTGAGGTCCAAAGAGTGAGATGTGAGGAAAGGGTGAGCTGACTTGAGCTGCCCCCCGCCCCCGACTCTCCAGCCCTGCCGCTGAGCCAACCACCAAGCATCCCGCCCCTCCAGAATGGGCGCTGCTGGCCCCTGACACCCGCCTTTGCCCGGCTAGGTACGGGAGGCAGATCTGAGTGACCAGTATGAGGCAGCCTGCGAGTCTGCCTGCAGCGAAGCGGAGTCTGCAGCCGCCGAGGCACTGGACTTGCCGTTGCCCAGCTACTTTCGCTCCCGCAGCCACAGCTACCTGCGGGCCATCCAGGCGGGCTGCTCGCAGGAGGAGGACAATGTCTCCCTGCAGTCCCTCTCCCCTCCGCCCAGCACTGGCAGCCTCAGCAACAGTCGCACGCTTCCAAGTGAGTACTGAGATTGGGGGCAGGGGGTGTTTGTTTCTCACAAGGGAACCCCCAGGGACCATTCCTGGTGGACCAGATGTGGAGAATGCCGGGGAAGAACCCATGGTGGGCCAGCCAGGGTTGGAGGGATAGTTAGCACAAGCGGGAAGGCTTGAGACTGAACTTCCCACCAAAGGACAAATTGGAGCTCAAACGGGGGTCACAGAGGGAGATGTCATCACTGGCAATAGGGTGAGGGGGTCAGAGAGGGCCCCTGCTTTGGGATCCTGACCCTGGCTCAGAGCAGCCAGCTGCTGGTGGGCAGGGCTTACTGAAGCCGCACCTCCCTGTTTGGATTAGTTCAGGTAGACAAACCTATGGTGAGGTTAGAACCTGCAGGGAAGAGGATGGCGTCTGCACTGAGCCTTCTCAGCGGAGTGGGTTTGCAGGTGTCTCTCGTATCCACAGAGACCACCTGTCCTTCCTGACACTTGTTGTAAGTCCTCCAGTGACACTCTGTGCATGATCAGAGAAAAAGGGGAACCTTGCGTCACAGAGTAAACCATGAAAACCAAGACCAGGGAAAATCATAGACTATTTCTGGTTTAGTAGAGAGAGCTTCGATCTTTCTCTGGCTAGCTAGTTTTCCTCTGGGAGTCTCAGTTTCCTCATCTATACACTGAGGCATAAGCCAGGCCCCAGAGAGTTCTTGGGGAGATGAGATCAGGGAGTGTTCAGGCAGGGCCTTGCACATGGTGGGAGCTATTATTGTTACTTCTCAGACATGACTCCGACTTTCCTGGCAGTCAGAAGCAGTTGGGATTGGATTGTTGTAGGAAAAGAGACATGTTTCAAGTGCTCAGTTGGTGTTTGATGTAAATAAATGAACTTGAATCCTATGCATATTCTGTATGAAGGAAATTAGTCTATCGAATGAATGAACTTGCCTTTGCAGGGGGCAGAGCAAGAAACGACTTTGTCTCCCTACTGTCTTTCCAATCCTGGGTGATTTCTGGGCAGATCCCTGAGCTTTTCCAGTCACTTTTAGACCGTAAGGAATAGTCTCATTTTTCGGTGTTAAGAGTCAAGTCTGGCCTCACTGCAAAGCTTTAGTCTTACCAACCTCAGGTCTCATGCTTCTGCAGGTAAAGCCTGACTCGGGCTATGAAGCCTGCAGGAGGGAGCTGGGCATGGTGGTCATTGTCGGCTCTGTCCCTTGTTCACTAGTGGCCGTTTCTGGTCCCTCCAGGTGGCAGGGGAAGGTAGCCAGCACAGGTGTTGTCCGATGTCGGGACTTTCTGGATGACCGAAGCCACATGCTGGCTCTCTCTGCTAAGTGATGCTTTTGGAGGGCCTCACGGTGCCTCCTTCCCTGGCATAGGCAGCCCCCCTCCAGCCCACTGCTTCTTATTCCCCCTCTGCCTCTCCATCTGCTGGTCCCCCTCCTCCCCACTCAGCTTCTCTTCGCTAAGGGACTTGGCCTTGCTGGGCGGGCATCTTAGACAAAATCCTCTGATGACAACTCCAGCCTCACTTTCTTCCTTTACTCCCATTCTACCTGTGTGACAATGAGGCCTTCACCCTGGGGAGCTCTGGAAATATGGGCTTCTATGCTACAGCCCTTCTTCCAGACCTGCTGTCATGGGTAACCCTGCCAGTCTCTATTTTAAAGGTCTCCTAGCAGATGCTGAGGCCCGGTTCTAGGGCCTCCAAATCCAGGGGATCCCTGCCAGGCTCTCCCAGGCACCCTGCTACAGTCCCCCTAGGAGCCTCAGGTAAGGCACCAGATTCTCCCCTATCATCAGGCCTGTGAGATGTTCTCTAAGCATGAGGTGGGCCGGCAATTTTCTTCAAATAGACTCATCCTCTAATCTTCCCCAAACCAAATCACTCATGAATGGACTAAGGATGGGTCATGGGCTACATATCCCTGTATTGGGTCCTTGGGTCTGCTTGGGTCCCTGTATTGATCAGCTATTGCCACAATAGTGCTGCATAACAAAGAACCACAAAATTAGTGTAATACAACAATTAACACATTTCTTGCTCCCACATCTGTGGATCAGTGGGAACAGTTCTGTCCCACATCTCTCATCCTCCTCCTAGAACCAAAGGGTCCTCCCGGGATCAGTGACCCAACCAGGGCATGTTCTTTTCATGGTGATGGCGGAAGCACAAGAGAACAAGCCTAAGGACACAAGCACATTTCAAGACCTCTACGTACATACTATCTTCTAAAATTCTATTGGCTAAAGGAAGTCATATGACTGAGCTCAAAGACAGGGGATAGAGAGGTACCCTCCTACCTTTGTGTAAGAAACTGTATTTTTATGGCAATGGTGTGGATACAGGAAGGGGTGAAAAATTAGGGTTAATAATTGAATCTACTGTAGTCCACTCTCTTGGCCACATGTATTCACGTTCCTCTCACGTAGAAAATACACTTATCTGGTGCACACGGGTGGCTCAGTTGGTTAAGCATCTGACTCTGGTTTCAGCTCAGGTCATGATCTCAGGGTCATGAGAGCGAGCCCTGCGTGGGGCTCTGCACTCAGTGCAGAGTCTGCTTGAGATTCTCTCCCTCCTCCTCTGCCTCTCCCCATGCTGGCGCATGTGCTCGCACGTGCACACACTCTCTCCCTCTCATTCTCTAATAAATAAATAAATAAATCTTTAAGAAAAAAAAAAAAAAAACACTTATCCTCAAGACCCCCAAAGTCTCTTCCAGTCGTAACAGTGGGATCTCGTGATTTATGTCGGGTCTGGATGTGGCTCCTCCTGATTGAGTAACCTAAAATCTAAAAAGAAAAAGAGGCCAAAAATTCTATCAACCACCCCCCCCCCAACAGTCTGTCCTCTATGGGTGATCCAGCACCTGGCTTTAAATATAGGGAGTGGGCCTCCAGTTATTCTCAGTTTGGGGGCTGTAGTCCAAACCAAGACACTCAAGAAGATATCATGTAGCAACAATACCTCACACCTACTTACAGACATACATGAAGTTGTGGACCCTTAGACCTCTGTATGATATGAAAAGTTATAAAAACACATGCCACATGGATATTCCCCACATGCACACACATACACGTAATCTCTACGTACACCTGCATACACACTCACACACGTGTGTCTCTTTCAAGACTCATGCCCCCTCCACACCTGTGAGGAAATCATGCCTCTAGCCGATTAGAGCCACCAAAAAAATTCACCCCCAACATTTTCCAGGTCAGCCCTCCCTCGAGTCTCCACAGTGACCACTACATACTTGCTCGTCTCTCCTCCACCCTCCAATCCCCTCATGCTCAGGAGGTAAACCTACCTGCCTCACAGGGAAAACCAAAGCCACCAGATTTTCCAACTGTGCCCAGAGTTGCAGCTGGTCCATACGGTACCTTTGTGCTGGGTTAGGAAAGGGCACTCCCCTCAAGACACTTAATTGCCGTCTGTTGGAAAATTGTCATGATGTATAATTTTTATTAGAACAAGGTCTTTTTCTGCCATCTGTCACAAATTTGTCATGATAAGTATATAATTCAATTATGTCTGTATTGTAAACAGCACCCGCCCTATATGTGGCATCCTTAGTCAGTGGAAAACTTGCACAACCATCCATGGCAATTCTGCCCATAACGACCTCCCTCCATATAGACCCACACCAACACCAACACACAGGCCCACCCTATCTCAGCCACTGTTGCCCCGCAGGGGTCACCCCTGCTCAGAAGGCGGCCTCCTCTCCTCAGCTCTGTCTCTAGGAAGTGAGAAGTCCAGGCCCCAGGTACACACAGACCCCTAGGGCTGTTCTGAGCCCCCAGGTTGCTGAGGGGTATGAAAGCTCTTTGTCACTCACACGTGGGCACGTATGGACTCAGGCCACATGCAGGCAGGTGGGTGGATGTGGGTGAGGAGGGGTTATTGAGGCAGTGAGAGCCCGGAAGGGGAGGGCCTCTCTAGAGTGGCCGTGGGCAGAGCCTGGAGCTGCCTGCCCACCCACCCACTTAGAGCTCACCAGCTTCCCAGCTGCCAGGACTGCTGCCACCACTCCTCTCTCTCCCTCCCCCCTTCTGACCCAGATTCCACATTCCAGAAATAGCTCTGGCAGGTGACTGGCAGGCAGGGTCAGCTCCAGCTAGGATGGTGGGGGAAGCAGCTTGGCTATATATATGTGCCCCTCCCAGCCAAAGGGCCCACCTGGAAGGGGCCACAGGGGTGCCATCACCCCATAGTCGGCCCCATCCTGCCTTCTCTCACCCTCTGGGAAAGAGAAGAAGAAAGAACAAAGAAGACTCTCCCTCCCACTCCCTCCCTCTACCCAGCTCCCATTAGTGCTCATTCTCCTCTCCTCCCTCCCTTTCACCATCCCTTTCTTCCAGCTTACTCTGCCCTCTCTCCCACCTCCTTAGCCTTTGGTTTGCCTCCCTCAATCCTGTTCCCTTCACAGCCCCCTGCTTCCTCCCCTCCCAGTTTCTGGCCGTCCTCCCTCCCTAGCTTCCCCTTCTGTGTCTCTCCCACTCTCTCTGAACCACAAGGGAGGGTGTGGCATCACCCAGGGGCCTGGGTGGCACCCGCCACCCCCCAGCTCCTGCCAACTGCGCTCTCTGTACCAGCACATGATTCCATGTGCATGTGTGTTTACACACACACACACACACACACACACCAGGTTACACACACTGGGGGGCTCTCCCTGCAGTCCTTGAAGCTCTAGGCTGAGCTGGGATAGGTTCCTGGCCCGGGATACATGCTTGCTCTTTGCTCAGGAACCCTGAGATCTAGTTTCCTCTCTCCTGTGTCACTCTGGGGGGTTCCGGTCCCTCCCTATGCTTCAAATTCTCCATCAATGTTGTGAGGCTTGAGTTTGAGGACCCTCTTCCCCGCCCAAATACTTCCCATCCAAGTCATCCTCTGAGTCCCTTCTTTGTCCCCTCCCCTCTCCCCCAGAATGTTCCCAGTTTCTCCTCTGATTCACTCCCTCCTCCATAGAGGAAGGGAGGCTGACAAAATTCCAGTAAGCAGTCAACCCTCCGGTCAGCCTTGTCCCCTTGCAGCCCTCCCCCAGGCCTAGCCCTCCACAATCTCTGATTATCACACTATGGGCTCCTGTCAGAATGAACACTCCAGTTGCCAGAGTGTCAGGGCTGAGAGGAACCTCAAAGACCATTATGTCCAGAGATTGCAAATAGATTTCAACTCCTGTGTTCATCTCTGATCCCTGGAGCCCAAGACTGAGATTTAGTTAAGCAGAGAAGTGTGCCACCATCAACTGGTGATGTCTGCTGTGGCGAGAATATTTACACATATCTGACATTCCTGAGTTAACTCAGTTTAACCTCACATACGTATACATATACACATGTGACACAACTCTTTCAAAGAAACTACAGCCTAGAGAAGGTGAGTGTCAGGTCAAGGTCACCCAGTTAGTAGGTCAGGGAGCTATTTCCCATCTGGGTCTGCCTGACTCCTAAGCCTTGAGTTTCCCATTATCCTGTGGGCAGGGGAGCCATCCAGGGTTCTGGTAAAGAGGTATGGCATGGTTACAAGAGTTTCCGGGAGAATTACATGGCAAGCTGGCCAGGATGGGTTGGAGGTCCAGGCAAAGCAGTGAGGACTAGGCCTCACTCCTCCTCACTCCAGGAGGCCTTCCCGGAGTGAGTGATGAGGGGTCAGAATTTCCTATTGCTGTACCTCTGCACAGAGGCACTGAGAAGAAGGCAGGCTTCCTCCCAGGGCTCTATCAAGCCTTGGTCCAGGACATTCCTGGTTAATCGAGTGCCTACTGTGTGCCTAGTGCACAAATCATCACCCTGTTTTTAGGCAGACCCATTGAGCCTTCTGGGGGAAATAATGACTGGGCCTAAGGACTGGTGAGCAGGCTATGAAGCCAGGATCGAGATTCGTGAACAAGGGGCATGACTAAGGTGCTCAAATGGAACCATGGAGCTCCTCCTAAGCAGTGGTTAGGGACATGAGCCTTGCAATCAGGCTGCTCTTTCATTGGACAGATGCTTATTGATCACCTACCTACAGTGGGCCAGGCCATGCTCACCCGGGACACAACAGTGAACAAAACAGAAATCCCTGCCTTCGTGGAGAGTATATTCTGTTGGGGGTTGGGGGTACACACAAAACAATAAATAACACGTAGAAGCATATGGTTTGTTGGAAAATAGCCCAGAGCAAAGGGAAGGGTTGCATCACAAACAGGATAGTTAGGGTAGACCTCGCTGAGAAACAGATGTTTAAGCAAAGACTTGGAGGAAGCTGGGGAGGTATGCCAGGCAAGGAGGAGAGGTCCTGGGGCAGCAGGGTCCCTGGTGCACTGGAGCAGGGGCAGGGTTCTCTGTGCCTGGGGCCGAGCAAGACTGAGCCTGGCTTGTCCTTGAATTTTTCTAAATAGGTCAATTTAAAGATGAATGCTTCGTGAATAGCACAGGTGTAGCATAGTGACTGTGAGTAGGACAGAGTAAGCTAATACTTTCAAAGTGCTTAGCATAGTGTCTGGCATCGAAATGGCTCAATAATCCTCATTTTCTTTTGTTATTAGTATGCCTTTATACAAAAATCGCTACAGTGGTATCAGAAACACTGTATCATCTCACTAAGGTTCTTTTCTCCATTTTACATTTATTAAAGACATGCACAGAGAAGGTAAGGGACTTGCCTAAGTCACCCAGCAAGGCAGGTCAGGGAACAGGAGCTGTGTCTGGATAGCAGAGCTGCTATAACTACAGTCTGGAGAGGTGAGGCAGTAAGGAAACGACTCAAGACCAGGACTAAATGAGAATGGGGAACAGGGCACAGAGAGGTGCCACGAGACATGAAGGGAATGATGGACTTAGGCAGCGCCTACTGCCCTTTGCCCTTCAGGGCACACTGAGTGTGTTGGTTTTATTTTTGCTGAAGAGGAATCAGGAGGCTGAAAGAGCATCTCGTACAAGGTCACACAGCTCTCCAAAGGGTGAATCAGAATTCGAACCCAATCGGGAGGCCTCCGTCTGAGGACAGCAAAGGGAGGATGGAGGGGAGGGGACAACTAGAAATACTTAGGACGTAGAGTCCATAGTACTTGAGGTCTAATTTGACCATGCAGGGTTGAGAAGACCAGCTCAGGATCCTTGCTGTGACCCTCAGTTTCCCCCAGTGACAGCGAGGTGTCGCCACGGAGAGCTAGGGCTAACTCGCACCGCTCCTCCCACGGCACGGAGCATGCGTCCCGTTCCAGCTGGAACCGGTTTGGCGGGGCGGCTCGAGGGGCGGAGCTCCCAGTGCTCAGGCATGCGCGTGCCGACGTGAGCGCGCGCTCCCTCCCACCGTCAGTCGTCCTGGGCGTGAGCTGGCTGAGCGCGCCTAGCGCTTGCGCACCGGCCGAGCCGCGCGCGCGCGCGCCGGGCCACGTGCCGAGCGGCTCTGCGCGTCCCCGCCCGCCCCGGGAGTCCCGGGAGGCGCGCGCGCGCGCGGCTGACGCGAGGGGCGGGGCGGGGCGGGGCCGGCGCGGGGCTTTAACACGAAGGCCCCGCCCCTCGGGCGTACAAAACCGGAGCCTCGGGCCGGGCCGCGTGAGGGAGGAGGGTGAGTGCCCGCCGCTGGCCGCAGCTGCCGCCAGCCTCGTCCGTCACTTCATCCGTCTGTCCGGTCCACGCCGTCGCCGCCGCCGCCTCCTCAGCCCGGACGCCCGGGGCCCGCCCAGCGCCGCCCGGAGCAGCCGCGGCCCCGCGAGGAGACGGGCGCCGCCCCCGCCCTCCTCCCCGTCTGTCCGTCCGTCCGTCCGTCCGTCCGTCCACCCGCCCGCTCGCGCTTCCGTCCTTCTGTCCGGCTGCCAGCCTTCGGGCTGGTCTCCCCGCTCCGCCCGCTTTGTCTCTCCCCGGCTCGCTGTCTCTTTGTCTCTGCCCTCGCGGTGCCTCACAGCCCCTCCCTCACTCCCCGATCTCGGGTCTCCCTCACAGCGCTCCTCTCATCCCTCGGAGCCTCCCTTTCTGGGGGCCCCCGTTCCTCGGGACTCCCCCCCCCCCCTCACGGTGCCCCCCATCTTTGGGGGCCTTTTCTTCAGAAAACCGCCCTCCGCCACGGCTCCCCTCTGAGCTTCCCGCACATCCTTTGGGGGGGTCCTCCCTTCCATCTGTACCCTCAAATCCCTGTGGTCTTGCTTCTCTCTTAGCCCTCATTTCCTCGGGGTTTTTCTTCTCGGTGCCCCCCATATACGCTGGGACCTCCGAGATCCTTGGGGTCTCTCTCCTTGGGACCCCCAAAAGCTCCCCAGCTCCCAGACTTCACCCCTCCCGGCCTTCCCTTGGTTTGTCTCCGTGGCTGTCGCTCCTTGTTCTCTCTCAGGCCTCTGTGGCCCCCCAGTTCTGGGGGTTGGGGTCACCCGCTTTGCTCTCCCTGCCTCTACCCTCACATCTGTCTCAGTGGCCTCACCACTTAGTGGCTCTTGTGCTGAAGGCCCCCTTTCGAGCCTGCTCCTTTCCCCAGGGCTCTTGGCCCCCTTGCTTTCTCTGCCCCTGCTCCTTGTCTCCCCTGCTCTCTGCTCCCTTGTCTCTCCCTTTCCCTTTCTCTGTCTTTGCCGGTCTCTGGGTCTCTGACCCCCCTCTGGCCCTCATGGCTTTGTGTCTGGAGCTCTTGAAGCAATGTGAGTGGTGGGGTGTCCGGGTCGGGCCGGAGTCCGCCCGCAGGCTGGCCGCGGCGAGGCTCCATGGGGTTGGCGCTGGGGCTAGGGCTGGCGCTGGGGCAGGAGGCTCTGGAGCCTCCCAACAAAGGGGCAAGGAGGGAGGGGCCAGGCCGTCTGGCAGAGGTGGGAGTGGGGGTGCCTTCTTGCTCTGAGGCTTCTGCTTTAGTTGCTTGAGTGTGTGGAGGGTGCCACGGGCTGGACGTCCTGCCCGCTTGGTCCTGCATGGCCTGGCACTTTGTGATCGCTTGTGGGCAGGCCTGGGCTATTTTGGAGTTGGCAGGATGTGATATCACTTGGGCGTTTATTTAGACCCGGCTGGGGGTGGGAGCTGCGTTCTTGCCAACTTGAGTAATGAAATTTTGCAGGGGGGTGCGGCCTTTAGGCAGCTGGGCTGTAATGTTTGTGGCCAGAACTTTGCAGGCCACCAGACTGGGCAGGTGAACAAGATTATTGTGCTGCTTTGGTCTTGCTGAGACTCAGGATGAGGGGAGAGAGGAGTTCTTAATCTGACCACCCTTGACTATTCCGTTTGATGATCTAAGAACTCCGGGCCTTGATTCTGCCCGCTTCAAGCTGTGTCAGACTCTCGACTTCTCTAAGCCTCCGTTTTCTCCATCTGTAAAAAGGGAATAATTGTGCTAGTCTTACCAGGTTGTCATGAAAACCAAATGAAAGGTCTGTAGACATGCTTTATGAAGTGTTACTGTGCCTTTAAACTGAGCCCACAGGGAAAGCAGTTTGTCCAGGGTACACAGCTAGTTCATGGCAGAGCTAGGACAGGGATCCAGCCCCAGGACTCCCCAGAGTTCTTTACCTTTTGCTCCATTACCACCTGATTATTCAGGATTACACCTGCCCTTCCAGTGGGGCAAGGAGGAAGCTGTCCCTTATTTATGCTCTGATTCTTCTTTGTCAGTTTGTAAAGATAAGCAGGTGTGCATAGCTGGATGTCTGCTGGGAGACCGTTGGATTTTCCATGTTCCATCCCATTGTTGTTTGAGGGTGGGCCCTGCGTGGCCAGTGGCACTTGGGAATAAGGTCGGTCAGTTTGTGGTTGTGAACCTCTGCCGCTTTTCCTGCTTCCCTGTAGAGTGGGGGAACAAAAGCCTCAGCTGGGAGAGGCTCCACAGACCGCGGTGGGGGTGGGGGTTGCTGTCAAGGAGCCTAGGATGTCCTAGAATTTTGGAGCAGGAGATCAGCTGTTAGAGCACCCTTGTCTTATGGATGAGGCCCAGAGAGGCCAAGGACCTATACAGGGTTGAGCAAGGACTCTTGGTCCTGTTTCATGGCACTGCCTCTGAGGAGGTCACTGTCAGGCTGGTGTCACTTGCCCACTGGTATATAATGACAATTTCTAACATCTGTTGACCTTTTACTGTGGGTCCTGTGCTTGACACACTACTCAGACTGTGTGCAGTGGGGAGCAAGAAGGGCTTGGTCCTTGGCCTGGAAGTAGGGGGTTGGGATTCTGGTCCCCACATCTTACCACTCTCAGGGAGGCCACTTTCTCCTGGGCTTCAGCTTCCTTACCTGTAAAATGGGAATAAAAATCTCTGTCGTAAAACTGATTCTGAAATCATAGAATTCCTAAAGAAATTCTGTGAGGCAGAATGCCAGGGTTCTATTCCTGGCTATGCTAAGATGCAGTGTGACTTCAGACAAGTGTTCCCCTCTCTCTATATTTTTCTTTCTGAAAAATGAGGGAGTTGGATAGCATGGTCTCTTAGGTGCTTCCAGCTCTGACATTTCAGGATTCTAAGGTAACTCAAAGGCCACCTATTTGTACCTACATCTCATCTTACCTGTTAATGGTGTGCCTGGTCACAGAACAAGAGGGAGAATGTGTTGAATACTGCAGGGTGTATGCTGATAGGAGAGAGATCCTGTCTGGGCAGAGGGTTCAGAAAAGCTTCCAGGAGGAGGCAGTGCTGGAGTTGGGCATCTCTATACCAGGCATGTTCTGCCACTAATACAAACTGTTACAGAGAGTGGAATTAATGTGGGATTTAGAGCCTTAAACACCTGGTTTTAATTGGTCTCCATCATTCACTCCCTGTGTAATCTTTGGCAAGTTACTTTCTTTGGGCTTCAAGTTTCCTCATCTGGACTCAAGATAATATTTACACTACAGGATTGTGGTGAGGATTAAGTGAGATTATATATTTAAAAAATACCAAGTACGCAGTAGGCACTTAATAAATATGAACTTTCATCTCCCAGTAATATCTGGATCACTTTTTTCTTTGTGGGAACAAGACAGACCCAGCTTCTCCCCACCTCCCCCTCCCCACACCGACCCCCTGGTGCTGAGGTTCAGGTAACAAGGAAAGCACCTGACTGTTGTAGTAAATAATAGGAGTAATCCTCTAATCTCTCACTTGCTATATGAGCCATTGTGTAATCTGTCAGGCGCTTTCCTGGCCATTGTTCCTCACAACAGTCCTGGGAGGAAGTCAGAAACCACTGGAGTTCTCTCTGCTTCACAGGTGAATGGAGAATAGGGGGCCCAGAGAGGCACAAGGACCTGTTCAGGGTCCATGGCATGCCAGTGTCGGGGTGAGCTTGAGCCCAGACCTCTTGACTTTTCTTCTCCCACAGCCCACAGCTTTGCTCCAGATGTATTGCTTCTGTCTGGTAGCCTGCCCCTCAGGCCTCCTCCTCTAGTCTGGCATCTATTCTGTAGGGAGGGTTTGCTTGACATTTCCTCAGCCTCTGAGCTCATCCCAAACTTCAGCGGGACTAGCCTGAGGCTGGGCGGGGACTGAGTCACCACCTTTCCTGGCTTTCTCATCCTCAGCAGCTACCAGACTCACCCAGAGGGCCAGAGACCTGCCGGTTGTAGGACAGCAGCAAGGCAGGCTTTCCTCCCAGCAGCTCAGATTGGCTCAGGGAAGTCTCTCCCTGGGCTTTTAGGGAAAGGCTGCAGTGGTGGCTCCCCAGGGATCTGGAAGCACGAGCAACACTGAACAGCTGTCGCCTGGCCTTTCCTGCTCCGACCCTTTATTTGTGCTGTACCCTCCCCCGGTGGTACCTTCTCTTCCCTTTGAGGCCCACATTGTCAAATGCCACCACCTCCTCCAGGAAGTCTCTGATTGCTGCTCTCGAGTCAGACTGAATTCTGTCCCAGGTCCATACTTGCTAAAAAGTGGTTGCTTCACCTCTCTGTGCCTCAGTTTCCTAATATATATAAAATTTAGGTTCTTTATCTTTGTAAAGTTTAGGTTCCATCCCCAAAGAGTCTCCTTTGGCAGATCTGGGGGCAGGAATCAACTTTACAAGTTCAGCCCTCTGGAGGAGTCTGATGCTGAGAACCTGTGGGCTGCACTCTGGGAAAAGCTGAACTGAGAGTTTCCTGGGCTGGTATTACAGCTTGGCTTGTCCCCACTGCATGACCTTGGATTGATCAAGTTTCTGCACCTCAGTTTAGTTTTGTCATATTGGGATGGAAATCCCTCACACGTTGCCAGGAGGATGAGAACTCCCTTGAGAAATGGGCACCTTTATGCTCTGCCGCCGTTTACCAGGTGTCAGGGACTGTGCTGGATTATCTCGGTATCACTGCAGCAATCCCGTGATGCAGATACCAGTACTTTCCTCGTTTTACAGAGGAGGAACCTGGCTCCTCCTCATCTTTGTTGTGGGCAGGGTTGGTTGTTTCCAGAAGCAAGTCACCCTTTCCTTGCTCAGCCCTGGCAGCAGACACCTGGCCAGGGTGAGGGCTGTGGAATTGAACACCTGGGCAGGAATGCAACCGAGTCGTCAACAGGAATTTAATGAGGTCGATGAGGTGTGCAGTCTGAGTGCCTCTCAGATTCCCGGGTTCCCCAGTCCTGGCTGTAGCTGCCTCCTCTCCCTCAGGTTGTGTTAGAATCAGCTGGTTCTTCACCCATCCACTCCTGGGAACCAAGGCTCCCTTAAAGACAAATAATAATCTGTATTATACAGCTAAAAGATTATTTCTTGTTTCACAGTGAAGAAGCAGGCCCAGGTAAGGGGAAGGACAGGGACGTGCCTAGGATCCCAAGCCAAGACCATGTCAGAGCTGGGCAAGAACCATAGCCCTGCCTGCCCACTTCCATTTCTGTGTATCACTGGCCTGGGTCAACCAGTGGAGAGTGGGAACACTGAGGTGTGGTTTGGCCAGTGAAGTTTCCTCACAGGACAAGAGCAGGAGAAGTGGTCTCAAGTGTTTGGAGCTAGATTTGGCTCAGCCTGGAGCCGGTAGGGCTTGGAAAGCACTTTCTGAGACTTGCCCTCCCACCCCTGGGCCAGGCTCTGAGAGGGTGGGAAAGAACAGACAGGTCCTCTGCCCCTGGGAACTTATGGTCTGACAAGGGAGACAAGGCTTACAATTATGAGAGACTGTGTGACAGTCTGTAATTAAGCGTCTGCTGAGGAAAAGCATTGTTTGAGAAGGAAGAAGTGAGTGTGTGCCAGAGGAAACAAGAGTCCTCTTGAAGGGGGCTGGATTTGCAGAGACAGAGGGTGGGGCTGACATTCTAGGGAACGGTTTGTGCAAAGGCAGGGGTGCGGAGGCTGGAAGCTAAGCATGTATTTAGGGAAATAGTGAGTAGACTGATTTTGCTGATGCATCAGGACTCTGGATGAAAAATCTGGGAGAGGCCAGGAAGTTGTAGGCAACATTGAACATCAGCTGAAAAGCAGAGGCTTTGGGGAGCCATGGAAGGTTTTAGAGCAGGGGTAGCACAACTGGAGGAGTTTGTTTTTTTTTTCTTCAAGAAGGTGAATCAGGCTGGGTGAATTGGAATGAATGAAAATGATGACAGAGAGGAAGCTTCGCAAGCATCCAGATGAAAGGAGAGGGTGAGGTTTGGGTGGAGCCAGGAAAGGATAGTTGGGCTAGCAGAGGTTGTTGTGCTCCCTCAGGAGAGCCCATTCAGGAGTTTGATGGGCCAGAGGGTGTTGCTGCTTTGGGGGAGGAAATAAGTCTGAGCAAATTG